TCACACACGGCGGGCTAGAGTGAGCGGAGGCCGGCGGCTAGAGTGAGGAACGGCTGGCGGGATGAGTGAGCAGAGGCCGGCGTGCTGAGTGAGCGACGGCCGGTGGGCTTGAGAACGACCCCGGGCTGGACTCTTCTTCGTCCACGGTGAGAGCCGATCCGACGATCCACAGCGCGAAGTTTATGTATTTCCTCAGCGACCAGCACGGATCAGCTCCAGGCATGACGAAGCAGATATCGTCCTCTTTTGGAAGGCCAAACAAAGTAGTTCGCTTTCACAACGAAACGCATCTCCACGGCATGGCGGTAACAATACTACAGCGAGAATAAAAGTTACGCCTTCTTTCTTTGCGTGAACATTTGGGCGGCGTTATGCAAATCTTCCCACATAGTGAATTAGTCATTCAAAGATTTGTTTAAATGATATATATTTTTTTTTATTATATTTTAATGCTGATGGCAAACGAGAAAGTATTATAATGTTTGCCTTTCTATTACTAATAATATAAAATCAATCGTTATAATATTTCTGTATACATTAATTCCTTTGTTTAACCGTTCTATCTGATTATTAGACAGACTTCTATCCGTATTAGACAGAACTCAAGGCGCTGCCGTTCTTCTTCTTGCCGTCAAAATAAAAGTCCCGCCTCGAAAACATCGGCCAAGCAGAAAAACATATCGACCGATGCCGATATTTGAGAAATGCCAAATATTGGCTTTGGCGATATATCGGTCGACCACTAATACATAAATATATATAAAATAGCTGATTAATATTTTTTTGTGGAAACTAAGATAATATATATATATATAATCTTAGTTTCCACAAAAATATTAATCAGCTATTTTCAGCATTGATAATAATATAATTTTTTTTCACATATTTCTTGAGCACCAAATCAGCATATGATTTCATATGAATGATTTGTGAAGCATCATGTGTAAATTACATTTAAAATTAATTAAAATAGAAAATAGTTATTTTAAATTGTAATAATATTTCACAATGTTACTGTTTTACTATATTTTAATCAAATAAAGGCAGCTTTGGTGAGAATAAGAGACTTCTTTCAAAAACATTAAAAAAATATTTCCAACCCCAAAATTTGAACAGCAGTGTAAACACACACACAGAGACACACTATGATTAACTCACAGAAGGAAATAGTGAAGATCGTAACTGATCTTCCAGTGGAACACATGACTGTAGCCTTGAACAGTCGATAAGGCATCTGTCATTTTCTTGTCTCGAGAAAAGGAAATGGCTGTCAAGATTTCTACCTTTACATTTTACCATAAAATGAGCACCTATATTGGCTGTCCTACTCCAAGGCTCTTATTAAGAGTGAGATTTATTATCTAAAACATTACTGTCAGAGTGTCTATGTTCTGTATGAACTGAGAGGAAGACTATGTTCATTATAGATAAATCAAATCCTCTGGTGGGTCTGCGCTTCTCTGAATATTTAATCTGAACTCATATATCAAAGAATACTAAACTGTACCGATTAATATTCACAGGTTACAAATTACACTGATTTTACCACAGGTAAAGAGTGTTCTTAAGAACGACGTAAAGCAGAGCAATATGCCAGGCTTCATTTCACAATGCACTGCTATGACATTATCAGCATAAAACTGGTGTACGGCAAAGATTTATCCCAAATTTTACAAATATTGTTCTTCCACAGGCTTCAGAGCCATTTTCTATCTCCTAGTTTCCTCTGCAATTCAATGTTTTATACATAACAGACCAATTTAAACTCCCCACTCAGGACAGCTTCTTCAATATTTAGTCTATGATGACACAAAAAACAGATTCAAGGTCTCAAGCTGCCTTTTGATTCTCACTGAAAGCTGGAAAGTTTTCCGGAAGCACATCTATGATGAAGAGCTCCCCCTAGAGTATGAGATCGACTACACACATGCCCTTCTTCAACATTGAAGGAAAATCTGTTTTTCAATACAATGACATATTGAAAATATCTCTATCTGAACTCAGCAGGCAGAACATTTAGCAATGACATCTGCATTATGATGATATTTTAGTTCATTTTGAAAAAAAATTCAATTTGTACTGATTAAAAAGTACTATTTTAGTCCATAAAAAATAAAGTGCAATTCAATTTTAAACACACAGCTGGGCATAAACAAGGGTTGTTAGCAATGCTCATCTCTGATTTCAGTCACAGAGTCGCTCTCAGGGAACACAATTCAAGGAATCAATATTTGAAGTAAATTACTCTTAAATCTTATTTAAAGTGGATAAGATTGCTCAAGTTTAAGAAGTTGTGTTTCTATGAGAAGATCTTCATGCAGCGACTCAAACGGGATTCCTCACATGAGAGGACGGGATCCTTTCAAAGGCATCATTGTTTAGCTTTTGAGTTCCTTTTCTAGTATAAATCAAAAGTAGGATCATTCAAAGCAGCACAGCAAGAAAAAGAACAACAACAACAACAACAAAAAAACACCAGCAAAATTATTGTCGCAGCTAACAAACCTTTGAAGGAGGATATCGTAAAGAGAGAGAGAGAGGGTGAATGGATAACAATCTAAAAACAATATAATATAATATTTATTATTGTTTTTAGAATCTCTCTCTTTCTCTTTAATCAGTTAAAAATGAATTCATATTAAATAAATTAAAAAGGATAAAAGATTTTAATTCACCTCTAGCTTTAATTTACTACTAATTCTGGAGAGAAAAGACGTTTTTATTATTACTATTTTTTTTTATTTCTTTTAGTTTTTTACTAAATCTAAGCATCTAGGTAAAGTTAAATTATGTTTATAATATGTCATTTGACATTAAATTACAACACCAGTAAAACTTGGAAGAGCACGTCTATACGATACAACTCCAAACGATAGACAGTGATTCCAGTGTGTCCAGTTTCTGAACATTATGCAAACCCCCCACAACAACCAACAGTCTCTATAAATACATCAGTCTTACCACTTTATACATCAATATCTTCATGTGTGAACTCTTGAACCATCCAGGTGTTAAAGACTCTCCATGCCACAGCATGCAGGTGCTGCTGCTGCATCATTCCCTAAACAAGCATGAGACAGAGAAGAGAGAAAAAATGGGACTCACTCTTAGAATGAAGCTCTTTCCATGCCCCAGGTCTCTTGCACACGGACGTTTGTGATGAGTTTATGCAGCCGGTCACAGTAATGCGCATCTGTGTGCAGGATGAGACACACACAGCGTAATCTGACTTTCTGAATACAGACCGAACCATTGACACAGGGGGAGGGATGGATCATACCAAATCCTTTATGTCACATACACAGGGAATGATTTAAAATCTGTAAAAATAGGGCACAATGCACTGTATTAATATGAAGGAATATGAAGGAATTTGTGTTTATATATAGAAATAAGTATGATTTCAGTAATTAAATTTCATTGTTAAATGTTCTTGAAATGCATGATTTCCAGCTGTCATCCACTCACTGGCACTATATTATCTAATCTGCAGCTTTCATGTAGATGAATGGAGCTACTAATCAACATGACTGGTTTCAAGGTTTTTCACCTTTATGCTTTCCCTGACAGGAATATTGCTGTTGGACGTGTTCTAGAAAGTGTTTTAATGCAGTAATATAATCTGTTCTGGCCTTGTTCGATCCCCTCGCTGTTCAGAGCTGGAATCGAAGAGAAGATGAAACCACATTAAACTGATATGGTCTAAAACTGAATATCAAGTCTTAAGATTGACTCAGACTGTTTTTTCAAGGTCAAAATTGTTTGCATTCTTATGTCAGTTCTGAGAGATGTATCATAAATGATTGATTGTATTTACATGCACAATCATTTCATACCTGCAGTTCGAGATTGATTAAATTCTAGTTTGCTGCTCTCATTTCAAAATTTCTTTCAGAGGTCATTCTCTGTTGTCATCAGCTGTTGAAGTCAAAGACTGGATTTTCCCAGCAGAAATGAAGACTTGTTACCATATTGATTGATGGCGAGTGTCCGCCGCAAGAGGTGGAAATCGATGGGCGCTGTGTGGATACCAAGAGAGCTGTGCCTCTGATGCCTTCCCATGAACACCCTGGTGGGCTCTCATAAATAAGTCAGAGAGTCAGTGGGTAGACAGAGAGATTTGAACCAGTGATGAATTGTGTTAGCATCCTCAGCTGCCTGTACCAATGTAGTACAATTTTGGGTAGTTTCCACAAAAATGTTAAGCAGCAAAAACTCTTGTCAACTTCAATGATAATAATAACTGTTTCTTGAGCAGCAAATCAGCATATTAGAATGATTTCTGAAGGATCGTGTGACACTGAAGACTGGAGTAATGATGCTGAAAATTCAGCTTTGCATAAGGAATAAATTACATATAAAAACACATTAAAATAAAATTTTAAATGCTCTTTTAAATTGTAATAATGTTTCACAATGTTACTGTTTTTACTGTATTTTTGACCAAATAAATGCAGCTATGGTGAACATAAGAGACTTCATTACTTCAACTTTTGGCCACCAGTATATGCAATGCTGCCTTAGAACTTGGGATGTATACAGGAGCATATGTTGCCAAAATATTTTGAACAGTCATGAGCGCACCTATAGTGCTTTCAAATACCATCTCAAGGTTTTGTAACAAAGCTCTAGGGTTTGTATCCCCTTTTATCTACATGCACTGATGTCTGAGAGGTCATCATTATCTGTGTGGAAGACTGACTGCGGAACAGCAGGGTTGAGATGGCAGCCGCAGGAACAGATGACCTTCAGCAGAAACTTACGTCGTAGATGCTATAGTGCCCCTCTTTCACATGTCTGTCAGATACTGAGGCAGTCACATGACCCTTATTTCCACATATTAGTGAAGAAAGCAAGAAAAGCCACTATTTGCACGAGAAAGGGCAACATATTTACACATGTCAGGATTCTCATGAATGTAATAATAGCTTGCTAAGAGAAAATGTACATTTCCAGTGCTTGCTAACAGTCATGAAGCACACAGGAGATTTTTCTCCATTTTTTCACATTTTTTACTTTGTTTTCTGAAGCAGATACAACACATTAGTCCCCGTGAGGTGAATTTTGATGAGCTTTTCTCACCTATAGAGACTTGTTACATCTATTATCAAAATGAATAGGAAACTGAAGGTTTGTTTACAGGTGAATTTTGAAGCAATTTATTGTATTTATGTAAATAGGATACAAAATATGTGATTTTAATCATCTTTCAGAAAGGGTCCAAATGATGTCACTTCCTGGGAGTCATACATTTTAGGTAATGTTACATGTGGGGAAATTATGTGTTAAGAGGACTGCATTCAAAATGTTTTTAGCAATTAAAATTAATGAATAATTAAAAAAAAAAAAGTTGTTGTTTTTTACTATACAAATACAATGAAATACTATTTTTGACATTATTGTATGATTTTAAAATAAAAAAATCATACATTCAAAATGAAAAAAAAAATCATGGTTTTGAATAATTTAATAATTTTAAAAAATAGTTTTTTACTACAATGAAATACTGTTTTTTATATTATTGTATGATTTTAAAATAAATTCAATTATACATTAAAAAAATCATGTTTTTTGGGAATTAAAATGAACGAATAATGAATTTTTACTACAATATCAATTTTGACATTATTTTATAATTTTAAAATAAACAAAAATCATACATTCAAAATAAAAATCAATAAAAATTAATGTTTCTGACAATTAAAACAAATGTGTTTTTATGTTTATATATATATATATATATATATATATATATATATATAGATATAGATATGTAGATATTTTTCTAGTTAAAAATATTTGTATATATTTTATAATTTATTGCAGAGAAAAAAAACTAAATGCTTTTTTAAAAAAAATACGGGACAGTGCCATATACTGTATTCTTTTTAAAAAAAAATCACATTTTGATAGGTATTTTGTGATCGACTTTAAAAGATACTTCATTTCTTTGGTGGACAGATTAATCTGGAAAACATCACTTCAAGCAGCAATAACTCAGGCAGATCTTGCATGGATTAATTCTGCACCTTTTGAATCTTATGCAGCATTTGGGAAATTCAAGCAGGGAACGATTCAAATCACATCTGATAAACGATTTAAAAGGAAAATGATGGAGAGCTTTGAAGTTTTTCATGACATTTGAGCAGAATATTTGTGACGGCAGAGTCCATATTGAGCAGAAAAGCCCCCGAGCCGTTGGATGGACATGTTGAGGGTAGAATTCCTATTGGCAGGAAATCAGGTGGGGAGATATGAGCACCTGCTGTTTGCTTTGAGCGGCCAGCAGAGTCCAACAATGCCCGTCAGTGATAAGACTCCCCGAGATACGTTTTCCTGTGAACCCCGCATATCTGATAAACAGATACCGCAAATGGGAAATGGGTTTTCATGAGCGCTTATGTTATCTCAATTACAGCTACATCTCACATGGCTGCGGGAAAACGTTTGCTGAAATTTAGAGTTCTGGCTTCAGATTATGCTGTTACTGAGAATTTAAGAATAAATCTTTCTCTTCAGCATGGCTTTCTTCAGGCCTAGAAATGAATTAAGGGATATTTGTGCAGGATATATGAACTGTGCAAAGTTTAAGAATAAGAACCTTTTTGGGAAAAGTGGAGTCAATGGGTAGTAGGAAATAAAGTCATGCTTGCCTGAATAATAAGTTGTTATTCGTTTCTGCACTTTTGCATGCGTTTGTTGGGAGACGTATACCTTTGTTCAAACTCTGTTAATCTCAGCGGAGCTTCGTGGGGAAGAAACATCACAGAAAAGTGGCTGATGGCTCAAAACATTGCAAATGTGCTGAAGTTTTACAGAGGAGCTGCTCTGTACTGTCAGAAGTCAAAGGTCACTGACTGCATGAATGAAACAAGCATCTTCATAGAAAATGATTTGTGGATAACTACTTTAAAATTAATACCGTACAACACCGGTTAAATGTTTAGAATAATTAAGATATTTTAATGTTTTTGAAAGAAGTCTTCTATGCTTACCAAGACTGCATTTATTTAATAAAAAGTACTGTAAAAATGACTGAAATAGTATTACAATTTTAAATCAAAATTTTAAATTTGAATATATTTTGAAATAGAATTTATTGTGATGCAAAACTAAATTTTCAGCCGCCATTCCGCCAGTGTTCTAATATGCTGAGTTGCTGCTAAAGAAACATTTCTTGTTGTTATCAATACTGAAAACAGCTGTGCTGCTTAATATTTATTAATATTATTTAAAATTAAGCATCAGTTCTGCATATTAGAATGATTTTTGAAGGATTATGTGAAACTGAAAACTGGAGTAATGATGCTGAAAATTCTAAATTCAAATTGCAATAATATTTCACAATCTTTTCACAATTTTTGATCAAATAAATGCAGCCTTGGTGAACATAGAAGACTTCTTTCAAAAACATTAAAAAAAAAAAAATCTCAATTATTCCAAACATTTGACCGGTAGTACATTCCCCCAGATGTATAAGTATGTTTTTAACAAACTCCACTATTCCCTAAAACAAAACTGAATGAGAATGGTAATATAAATGCAAAACTGCATGATAAATTGCAATGAACAAACACATTTTCTCTCTAGCAGTATCTCAACATTTGCTGCTCAGCTTCAGCAACACATAACCAAACGGTGTGGTGAAAAGGTTATGTATTATTACACAATATCTCTATTTAATCAGTAGGGAAAAGCAATCACATTCATTGAATGCTGTATCTGAAGCCGGGGATCAGTCCTGCCTGCTGCTGAAAGCATGTGGGATTTGGCGCTCTGACCTATTTCTCAGAGTCTGATACACAATCTATGGTGTGCCGATTTTTGATCCCCACTCAGGCAACCCAACAACAAATGACAAACACATGAACAACAGCAGTCAAGGACATCCAAGAGCCCAGTGTGTAATTTGACATGTATGGTATTTTTCCATCTTCAACCGGACAATCACTTCAGAACCGGATACACAAATCTGAATATATTTCCAATATGTAGTAACTATCAAATGATTACTTCCCACAGGTGAATCACTCTTTGAACCGTGGGACAGAAACGATTTACTAAAATAAATAACACTTTTCAAATGAGACTCCCTCTTTGGATCACATAAAGGAACTGATTCAGTAAAATAAGTCACACTTCCCACAGGAGAAAGTTTCTGAACTGACTCGAGCCTCTGGATATTAATGGTCAGATTCAGTTCTGTCTTCTGTATGGTTTGAATTTAATGAGA